AATAATATGAGAAAAAGAAAAAAATATTACGGAGAGAGAACAACAAAACAGGAATTAAGATAACAATTGACATTGCATTTACATTTTTGGAAATCAAACTTGACGGAAAAGTTCCACAAGCAGTAAGTGCGAGAGAAGAAACTGTTAGCTTAGAATTAACGGTTACATTCAACTGCCATTTTAAAGCCATTTCAAATGTAAAATGATGAGACCTAACTACCAATCTAGTACAGCGCTTAAATTGGTAAAGTTGAGTCACGAAAGATGAAAGCTCATCAGAACAATTACCATACAAATATGTGTATCATGGGAATGCATATATCAAGTCCCCTGCTTCAAGAGGTCAGAAAATTGGTTGGCACATTCTTTTCCTTCAGTAAGTATCAGGTCATCCCATAAGTTCTGTCCGAATTTTACCTTTTTTTATAATGAATGAAATTTAAAGAGTATTTTATGTTTAATGGAGCTGAACATTATTTTTATGTTTAGATGCATTTAAACTGATCAAATTTTATTTCAGAGAACAATAAATTTAAATTTTGTTTGATTAAAACCCTGCTAACATAGAAGTACCCAAGAATCATTTGAGGCACATAATGCTTTATGAGTTCAAGAAAGGAAACTCAACAGCCAAAGCGGCTAGAAACATTCACTCAGTTTATTGAGAGGAATGTGTGAATGAAAGAACTTGCAGAAGATGGTTTGCAAAATTCAGAGGTGGAGATTTCACCCTTGAAGATGAAGATCGAACCGGACGTCCAGTTGAGTTTGATGAAAAGCTTCTTGAAGCAGCCCTTGAAGAAAATCCTGCTTTATCAGTTGAGGAATTGGCAGTGGTTCTCAGTCCAAACCATACAACTGTTCATCGTCATCTTCAACAACTTGGAAAAGTTCCTAAACTTGGAAAATGGGTGCTTCATGAATTGTCTGAAAACAACCTCAAATCCCGTGTTGACATCTGCTCTTCTCTCCATTCTCGCCAACTTGTTTTAGCTTTTTTGGATAGACTTGTGACTGGCAATGAAAAATGGATCTTTTATCGAAATGTTAAGCGTCGTAGACAGTGGCTTGGTAAAGGGGAAGGACCCCAGCCACAGCCGAGAAGGGAACTTCATGGGCAAAAGGTTCTTCTTTCAATCTGGTGGGATCGCCAAGGAATAATCCACTTTGAATTCTTACCACCTAATGCAACAATTAATGCTCAAATATACAGTCAGCAATTAGAGCATTTAAACCAAGCTTTGAAGAAAAAAAAAGACCTGCTCTAGTGAATCGAAAAGAGGTGATGTTTCATCAGGACAATGCGTGACCCCACACAGCAAGAATCACGTCACAAAAGATCGAAGAACTTGATTGGGAGAAAATTCCTCATCCACCTTATTCCCCCGATCTTGCTTCTTCAGACTACCATTTGTTTCGTAGCCTACAGAATCATTTGGAAGAAACAGCTTTTGTAACACAGGAAGAGGTTAAAACTGACGTTTGTGAGTTCTTCGAATCAAAGCCAAAAGAATTTTACAGTAATTAGTAAGCTTGTTAATAGATGGAAGGAAGTCATAGATAATCAGGGTAAATACATTCTTGATTGAATCTGTAATTAAATGTAACATTTGGTCACTTGTTTTCTTTATTCAAAATTCGGACAGAACTTATGGGATGACATGATATCTGACTTCTTCCACCATGTTTGATCTTTACAAAAGTAGTTACACCAAAAATGGAGTTTCGCTGCCTATTCTGGGCTGGAGCTGCTCAATTCTCACTTTCCAGCCCTGCTAGAGTTCTAAATCTGGCAAATTGTTTAGATGAACTCCATTGTTTAGTTTCACCAATTCAGTTCCTCACAGCTGGGAAATGCCATACCACTTCCATGGAGACGAATTATCCTAATTTCCCCCATGTTACAAATGGAAGAATTTTTTTTTTTTTTTTTTTTTTTTAACCAAAACCTCTACTTTGTGGAACAGACTGTCATGTGGCTACTTCCCGAAATATTTCAAACTTTGTCTTCAAATCAAAGGTCAAAATTCCTTATCTTCATAATCTTCACTTTTTTTTTTTTTTTGCCACCTACATATCGCACACCTCATTCTGACTTATTTTCAAGCCTCGGATTTGGTGAAATTTAGTGTTAAAAGAATAAAATTAAAAAAAAAACTCTTTACCGTATATCGCTGCTTATAAGACGCATTTTCCTATAATAAAATAATCTCCAAAAAACACAATCTGTGTCCTATAAATTAAAGGTTGGTAATGGGAGTTATAACTATGGGATGTTAAGGGAGCGTCTAAGCCCTTGTAAGTCCAGTGTTTCAAAATTAAATTAACACCTTTCTGAGAGAAGCTATTTGTACTGTTGGGATACTGGGATATTGACAACAAAAATTCCTGCTCCAGTAACACTTTCCTTTCTTATTTCATAAATTATTGGCTACAAAGCAGCAGCATTTATGGCAGACACTTTAAGAATAATACTACTGTGTTCTACGTTTTCGTTAATACATGCTGGGTATTTTCACTTGATTAAGTAATCATACTTACGGTACTTAACGGTGTCAAATATTACTGAGCAAATACATTAGCCTGCCAACAGCTGAAACAGCCATTTTTGTTTTGCGTCACTGACAATGATGCACCAGTATCTGCTCTGAGATCTTATTACATTCTAAATAGTTACCATAAATTTGGTACTTCTTTTCGGTCTGGGATGAATTTGTCATGATTAATTAAGTTTTCGGGCTGAAATATGCTATTCAGTGGCTAACATTGAAGATAGTGGTGCGGGCTATGAAGTAAAAGGAAAAAAATTCCAATTTCTTCTTTCAAAATTTTTTCTAATGCTTTGAAGCGTCTTATAAGCAGCAAAATTTGATATTTAAATGTGTGCTAGTGTCCTCATCATTGTTGTTGTTATCAAAACTGTTTGGCCATTGTGCTGGCTAGCTTTCTTTAAGTGTCTGTCAGTAACTTATCCCAGATATGAAAGCAGAAAACAAAAACTCGTTATCTATTGGATGTTTGAATCTGGTAAGATTTAATTAATTTATATAGCTTTTCTTTTTTTTTTTCTTTACGATATTTTTTTATGTGTCGTGTCCCTTCAGAACGCAGACGACCAGGGCTCTTCACTTCCCCCTATTCCTTGTAGCTCTCAATAAGATTTGTTCCTCTCCCTCAGATCACGTTCTGTCATCCACTTGCTTAAGCCCGCTATGTCATGCGTTGCTTTCTCTTGTCTCTCTTTCCCTCAAATTCAACCCGTGAGTATCAGATTCTCCAGGCCTTCTTTTCTCATTACTTGTCCCAGAAATTTCAGCTGCCTCTTCCCGATGTTAAGTATAAGCTACCTCCTTGCTTGCATCCTCTCCAAAACTTCAGCGTTGCTGACATCCTTGTTCCATGATATCCTCAGCATCCTTCTGTAGAACCACATCTCCGTCACCTCGAGTTTCTTCTTCATCTTTGAGGTGACCGTCCAAGATTTTCTGCTGTAAAGGAGAACAGATGTCACGTAACAGCTCAATACTCTTTTCTTTATTACTAAAGAAATCCTCCTGTCTCGCAATACTCTGCCCAGCTTTTAAAATGCGTCCTTGGTCACGGTCAAATCACGCTGAAAACACCGGTTCTCGTTCGATCACCGAAGTTAAGCATCGTAGAGCCAGGTCAGTACTTAGATGGGGGACCGCTTGGGAACAGCTGGTACTGTAAGTCCCCAAAGTCCAACCCTTACCTCACAGTCGGTTGTAAACGGTAGTGTCAGAGCTATGCCGCCCGGAACTTTGTTCCTGGTAGGGCCACCCAAGGCGGACAGGTCTGACACACACGCCGGCTAACAAGGGCTCTGGTGAAAATCCAAGGAGCGTTTGCATTGGTAACTGGCGGCTTCTGGTCGTTCCTGTCTCTGCGTCTGTGGGAACCCCGCGGCAAGCAAGAACGTTATCCGAGTAGGCCTGGGTACCCTACTTCTGTAATTTATCCCAAGAATCTTCTTCTCATAACAGGAAGAAGCCGGCTCAATCCGCCCAGGGTGAATGCCGCATCAGTACAGTACAGTTGGTCATTCCAGTAAATCTTCGAATCTCAGCGTCGCACTTACCGTCCTCCGTCAAAACACTTCCTAAACTTTCGCACTTGCTTGATTTTAGTGTCCCCGAACTGTAAATAGCATTTGGAGCTCATCCTTTTACTGATGATTATGCATTCTGTCTTCTTGCAGTTTATGCTTAGTCCCTTCTTCTCTCTATCCTACGCTACCTTCTGTAGGGGGTTTTGTAATTTCTTTTCCGTGTCTGCTGTCAGTACTGTTATCTGTGTATCTTGTGTTGTTAAGATTGTGGCCGCTAATGCCGAATCCCGGTAGGATTTCCAATTCTCTCGGAATTGCCTCGTTAATATGTCATAAAATTTCTGAACCAATGATTTAATTCACTTGGCTATTGTCCCTTGGGACAATCCTGAGTGTAGAACTTGGAGTCTTAAAACTAAATTGCCAACTGTTTTGGAACTGCTGCTGATTCTCATTTTCACTACTGCTGCTGCTGCTACTGCTGCTGCAACCTTGCCGCCATTTGTTCCTTTCTTTATTAATGGCTCCCATATTGTATTTATTTATATTAGAAAGAACCATGAAAATATCACGGTTTATCTATTTTAATTTTCTGATGAATCTTAATTCTTAAGTTAATGATTGAGTAAGTTCATGGCGAGTTCTACGACAATAAAATAGTCATTAAATTTTTTATCGTTAAATATTTGAGATTAACAACTTTAACAAAATATTGCAATAAAAATCATAAATATGAATTCTAGTCGTTATTTTAAGAAGTAAGTGGGTACAAATGAAAATATTTGAAACTGACAACTGTGTACATTTCACTGAAACTGCCGTTAAACACTTCTGTCTTTCTTTCTTACTGAACTCAACTAGTGTATTTTCCACTCTTCCCCACCCACAATCAAAACAGAATAGTCCATTATTTATGAGGTATTGGCAGGAGATGTTAAACACTTTTATCTCCCCCTTTCTTTTTTTCTTTCTTTCTTTCTTTTTTTCTTTCTTTTTCCTGTTTCTTTCTTTTTCTCTTTCTTTCTTTCTTTTTCTCTTTCTTTCTTTTTCTCTTTCTTTCTTTTTCTCTTTCTTTTCTTTTTTTCTCTTTCTTTTTTTTCTTTTTTTTTTTTTCTTTCTTTTTTTTTCTTTCTTTTTTTTCTCTTTTTTTCTCTTTCTTTTTTTCTCTTTTTTTTTCTCTTTCTTTTTTTCTTTCTTTTTCTCTTTCTTTTTTTTTCTTTTTTTCTTTTCTCTTTCTTTCTTTTTCTCTTTCTTTCTTTTTTCTTTTTTCTTTTTCTCTTTCTTTCTTTTCTCTTTCTTTTCTTTTTCTCTTTCTTTCTTTTTCTCTTTCTTTCTTTTCTCTTTCTTTCTTTTCTCTTTCTTTCTTTTTCTCTTTCTTTCTTTTCTCTTTCTTTCTTTTCTCTCTTTTCTTTTTCTCTTTCTTTTTTTTTTTCTTTCTTTTTCTTTCTTTTCTTTTCTCTTTCTTTTTTTCTCTTTCTTTCTTTTCTCTCTTTCTTTCTTTTTCTCTTTCTTTCTTTTTTCTTTCTTTCTTTTTCTCTTTCTTTCTTTTTCTCTTTCTTTCTTTTTCTCTTTCTTTCTTTCTTCCGAACCAAATCCTCGTCTTACGAACATTTTTTTAATAATAATTCTAAAATAGTTCAGCAGACGATGTTATTTTTAATTTCTTAGAATTAGAATTTAACGATTGCCTTACACGGCTTCTGTCATTTGATACTGTACGTCTGAAAAATACCACAGTTATAGCGATCGCCATCATTTCTCAGCCTTTTGGTTTGAGATCAAAGTGTAGTATCTGTTGTTATCAGCTTAATCTGATTCTATCTCCCTTCTTCCTTTCTTTCTTTCTTGTTTTCATTTTCACGGATTCCTTATTTGAATTTTCTGATGAATCTTAATTCTTAAGTTAATGATTGATTAATCTTATGGAGAGTTCTACGATAAGGAAATATCTGTAGAATTTGCCGTATCGCATCTTGACAACTGTAACAAAAATTTTGCAATAACAATCATGAATATGAATGCTGGTCTCTATTTTAAGAAGTGGGTACAAATGAAAATATTTGAAATTGGCAACTTTTCAGTTTCACTAAGTCATTAAACACTTCTATTTTTTCTCCTTTCTTTCTTTCTTTCAGTGAAACCAAGTAGTGTCTCTGATATGTTTTGTTTATCCAAGCAATCAAAATGGAATAGTCTATCATTTATTGAGCTTTATTTTTTGAAATCAAATAGTGTTCTTTTCTCCCTTTCCAGCAAAATGGAATAGTCTAAAGATTGCATAAAGATTGTGAAAGCTAACGAAAGGAGGTACAAACACAATTATTTATACATTTTATTGGTGGTACAAAACTTAATGACCGCCATAAGTAGATAAATTTTATTTGTATTTTTAATGCTACCACACATGATAATAATTAAGAGAAAATTGAAGAACGAGCTAGCTAACCGGTTTCAAACCCAGCTCAACAGAGCTAAATCGTGGTTAATAAATATGTATATATTATCAATAAAAGGAATGAAATCTGAAGGAAATAAAAAAAAAAAAATTAGATGGAAATCAATTGTAGGCCAAGGACAACATCCTTATGTTTACAAAGCGAATACTTCATTGATAAACTATATATGGCCTCCAATATCTTAAGGTCGTAATTTGAGTGGGACCTACTCAGGATGGAAAACGAGTCCAGATTAAAATTAGCCGCACAATTATTTATATAAGATGTTCCGTGATAGAAGACCCGTATGTATTGGTCAGAACATCTGATGTTGAATAATTAGAGTTCCGGATTTTTGTAAGCACCTGTTGCTTAATCCTAACATCCATCCTTTCAGTCGATCTTCCTATGGAGTGCATATTGCATCTACATTTAAATAAATAAATCAAGGAACTATTATGGTGAGGTGGAAGAACGTCTTTGCGCATGTATGGAAGAACAAGTTTAGCATAGAAAAAAACAATTATAACACGATGCTAGGCCTACCAAGGAAGTCCGCATAGCCCAATAAAAATATACAAAACCTGAATGCTACCCAGATCAACAAGATGAAGACTGGCCGAAATTTTGTGATAATAACAACAAAGATGAGGACAATAGTTCACATGTAAATAAGGTAAATGACGATACATCCTGGTCCCAGAAATTCAGACAGAAATTATTACTGAAGATTAGAATTGCCTTCAATTTCTTGGTTGTGTAGTCGTATCCTTCTATGGCAACAACTAAAACAATCTTTACTGAAATTGAGAAATAGGCTACTGCAATTTCAAATAATATATAAAACACTATATTTTTAGGCGATTCCATATACAATAAAAGGATGAAGTAATATTTATAAATGATGAAGAGTGCTAAATGTTTTAATAACTGATGGGGTGTTTAGAAATGTTAGTTACTGCATGGGACGTGATGTTTAAACATTTTTAAATTGACCTGTGAATTTTAAAATAGTTGAAACCTGTTGCCATCTGCGATTTTATTTTGAACAGATATGGAACATGCGAAGAGACAGATATTTTAAAGATGGCTGCTGCAGTGAACAAATAAATTAAGTTGTTCATCTTTTTTTTCTCTTATCAAAACACAAGAGGAATGATAATTCTGTGGCTTCTCAACTTTGTAATAACAATAAAAAAAAAAAACTCTTTGATGAAAACCAGGCTTCCCGAATGTATATCTCTTTCTTTCTCGCTGTTACACTCTTTCTGTGTGAGTTTATCATGGATTGTATGCGTATTTGTCCGTACGAGTGAGAAAAGTTGTCTGCTTATCTCTCTCTCTCTCTCTCTTTGCCCGCCTGACTCTTTCTCTCTCTCAGTATCTCTGCTCCACCTCTCTCTGTATCTCTGCCTATCTCTCTCTGTATCTCTCCCTACCTCTCTCTCTTTCTCCCTCTTTTTTTGTATCTGTGCCTGCCTCTCTCTCCCTCTCTATGCCTGCCTCTCTCTCCCTCTTTATGTATCTGTGCCTGTCACTCTCTCTCTCTCTCTCTCTGCCTGCCAACTTACGTCTCTGTTTCTCTCTGTGTCAGCCCTCTCTCTCTCACTCTTTGCCTGCATGTCTTTCTCTTTTTACTGACCTGCTTCTCTCTGCTTATCTGTCTGCCTCTCACCATCTGTGCCTGCCTCTTGCCCTCAATCTGATTTTCTTACTCTCTCTTTTCTTGTGCCTGTCCCCCCTCTCCACCCTCTCTCGTCTCTCCTCTCTCTCTCTCCCTCTCTCTCTCTGTCTCCCTCTCTCTCTCCCCTCTCTCTCTCCTCTCTCTCTCTCCCTCTCTCTCTCCCCCTCTCTCTCTCCCCTCTCTCTCTCTCCCCCTCCTCTCTCCCCCTCTCTCTCTCTCCCCCCTCTCTCTCCCCCCTCTCTCTCTCCCCCTCTCTCTCTCCCCTCTCTCTCTCTCCCCTCTCTCTCTCTCCCCTCTCTCTCTCCCCCTCTCTCTGAATTGCGTCAAGGCTCTTTTCTCTAAACAGTGCTCAACTGACCCTGCTATGCTGAGCAAAATCAAAAACAAACAATACGTATGCGCAAAATTAGAAATATAAAATGGAGACAATTTACCCATCACACGCTATATATATACAGTGGGGGGGGGAAAATATTCGTAAACACACACTCACACATTAATTTAAATTATATATATATAAATCTATTGTATTTCAAACTAATGAATAGACATACTTTTCATATAATTAACTGTACACAGATGCATAATAACTAAATATGCATAGAAAACAGAAAAAGGTTGATTTAATAGAAATAAATTTCATTTATCTATTTTAATGGGTGAAAAATTATTCGTACAATGCAAATTTCAGATTTTAAAACCTTTTAAATTGCTTTAATACCCTAAATTATTCAAGTGGAATATTCTAGAATGTTATCGATAGTTATTCTTAGCCTAAAAAATACAAACAGAACATTCTGTAATTGATATTCGTACAAGGTTTTCATCATGGCAAGAAGTAAAGAATTGACAAATCCTCAAAAAGAACTGATTGTTAATCTCTAGGAAGAAGGTAAAAGTTACGGGAAAATCTCAGACAACCTGAATATTCCATTTATTGTCATTAGTTCATTCATTACAAGGTATAAAATCTCAAAACTGTTGAAAACCAAAGAAGAACAGGTGTTCCACGGAAGATTTCTTCAAGATCTTCAAGAAAATTAATGCGTCAAAATAAACAAAATCCAACGGTTACACGTCAAGAATTGGAGAATGATTTGCTTTCATCAAGAATCTGTGCCACTTAACGGACAATAAGCAATGAAATTCATAGGAATAATCTAAGTCACGCTCCCCTCGAAAAACTCCGCTTCTATTGAAAAGACACAGAGATGCCAGTTTGAAATTCGTTCGTGAACACAGGGATAAGGAGCAATCGTATTGAGAAAGAATATTATGGACAGACAAAACCAAATTTGAGTTGTTTGGACTTAATTCTAGAAATCATGTATGAAGGAAAGATGGCGATGCCTTCAAGCAAAAGAACATAGTTCCAACAGTGAAATTTGGTGGCGGTAGCACCATGAATTGGGGATGTTTTTCTGCAAAAGGTACTGGTAACATATCAACAATTGATTGAATGACCGCAGCATATCAAAATATTTTAGAAGCAAATTTAATGATTTCGCTTAAAAATCTTGAACTTGATTAGATTGTCGGAGTTAGCTCCTCCTCGGCTCCTTAACCCTTCACCAGGATCTCTCTCCCCTGGCTATAAATACTGGCTGACCCGTCGCCTCGATCTCTTTTTCCTCAGGCCTTCGGCCTTATACCACCTCACAGATGTGAGCTCTCACAGATACAGCGTTTCCCAAATTCTGGGAACACGGTAAGAACAACACACGTACGTACGAACACTCACCACACACACACACACACACATAATATTCACCACACGCACTCTGTCCATGTAATTGTTCACATAACCTTTATTCTTGTTGTGCGTCCTGGGTATGACGATAAACTACATCCGCGTCCTGTCAACACAAGGCCTCAGATAATGCCGGAAAATAATGTTGTCAGCTATTTTTTCAATAATGTTGTAAGGTTTTTAACAATAATGTTGCCAGCTATAGTTTTTTTTGTTACGTTTTGCGTTTTTTTTTGGAAACAATAATGACGATAACGTATTTTTGGAAAATCCGCAAATATGGGTATGACGATAAACTACGTCCAACAATAAGTTTTTTTTTTGTTTTTTTTTTTGGAAAAATAATGTTTTTTTGAAAAAAATAATATACGTTTTTTTGAAAAAAATAAGCTATAACGTTTTTTGAAAAAATAATAATGTTTTTGCCAGCTATAGGTTTTTTTGGAAAAAATAATGTTGCCAGCTATATAGTTTTTTGAAAAAATAAAATAGCTATAGGTTTTTTTTTTTTTTTTGAAAAATAATGTTCCCAACTATACGTTTTTTTTTTTTTTTTTTTGGAAACAATAATGTTGCAAGATATACGTATTTTTTTGGAAAAATAACGTTGCCAGCTATAGGTTTTTGAAAAAAATAATGTTGCCAACTATAGGTTTTTTGAAAAAAATAATGTATTTTTTGGAAAAAAAATGTTAATGTTTTTTGAAAAAAATAAATAGGTTTTTGAAAAAATAATGTTTATTTTTTTGAAAAAATAATGTTTGCTATAGGATATAATTTTTTTTTTTTTTGAAAAAATAATGTTGCCAGCTATAGGTTTTTTGAAAAAATAATGTTGCCAGCTATACGTTTTTTGAAAAAATAATGTTGCCAGCTATAGGTTTTTTTGCTATACGTTTTTGAAAAATTTTTTTGAAAAAAATAATATTTGCCAGCTATAGTTTTTTTTTTTTGAAAAAAATAATGTTGCCAGCTATAGGTTTTTTTGAAAAAAATAATGTTGCCAGCTATAGGTTTTTTTGAAAAAAATAATGTTGCCAGCTATAGGTTTTTTTGAAAAAAATAATGTTGCCAGCTATACGAAAAAAAAATAATTTGCCAGCTATAGGTTTTTTGAAAAAAAATAATATTTTGCCAGCTATTTTTTTTGAAAAAATAAGTTAGCTATGTTTTTGAAAAAAATGTATGGTTTTTTTGAAAAAATAATGTTTTTATTTTTTTGAAAAAATAATAATTTGTATGTATGAAAAAATGTATGTATGTTAGTATGTATGTATGTTTTTTGAAAAAATAATGTATGTAGGTTTTGTTAAGTATGTATGTATGTTATGTATGTATGTATGTATGTTATCTATCTATGGCATTAAATATTGGTTGATATGCCATAAAAAACCCAACCAACCATTAACTTGTTATTAATACATATTTTTGTTTTTACATGTTTATTGGTCTTGTTTGTTTGTTTTCTTTGGAGTTAATTAAAGTCCAATATTCTCATGTGGTTGGACCGGCAAGCAGGAAATTCTACCCACGTGTATTCTTCTACAATACATCACATCTTCACCCAACGGTCTACTACAAGATCTTTCAACAAGATAATGATCATAAGCACTCTGCAAAATCTACGAAGAAATGGCTTGCTGAAAATAATGTAAATATCCTGAAATGGCCAAGTCAGATCCCCCAGATTTAAACCTAATCGAGAATCTGTGGCGTTATTTAAAAATCCAATCGAGAGCTCCAACAAACATCCAGGAACTGAAGACCATATGCAGAGAAGAATGGAAGAAAATATCAACTAAAATTTGCAAATCGTTACCTGAGAACTACAAGAAGTGAATAATGGCTTTTTCTACAAAGTATTAAATGAAGATTATGTATTCTTTTTTTGTATTGTACGAATACTTTTTTCACCCATTAAAATGAATAAAAGGAATTTATTTCTGTTAAATTATTTTTTCCGTTTTCTATGCATATTTAGTTATGTATTCGTGCGCAGTTACTTATATGAAAAGTATGTTTATTCATTAGTTCGAAATACAATAAATTAAACATTCGTATGTGTACGAATACTTGTTTCCCCATACTGTGTGTGTGTGTATATATATATATATATATATATATATATAAATTATTTATTTAAAAATATGATTCCAACGCTACATAAGAGTTCTCATGTTTCAAAACAAGAGCCGAAAACTTCAATATAATTATTTGTATTAAAGTACTAAGCTCTCTTCCATCTTCAAGCGAAATTCTTTGGGGAATAACTTATTCCAAAAAAAAAAATTTCGCTTGAAGATTAATTCAATTTAATTCAAATAATTATATTGAAGTTTTCGGCTCTCGTTTTGAAACATGAGAACTCTTATGTAGCATTGAAATCATATTTTTAAATAAATAATTATATTTATGCTCTACTTTTGTATCGAGCACTATTTTTTAAAAATAATAACAAAAATACTAAAGAACTTTGGATTATTTACCTAACAAGTTCTTTCCTATTTTCTATATATTTTTACACATACATACGTATATATAAAAGACATTTTTATGTTTAACGTTCTTTTTTTATAGATACAAGTATTTAAGCAAATGCTCTGTTTATAATAAACAGTATTAAATAACATTTACCGGCCTGAATGTCCGAGAAATTTTCATAGAAAATATTCGTCCTTTGACAGGATTCGAACCTGCATCCTATACGGAACCGTCATTTACGCTGACGTGCCTTACCGTCTCAGCCACAAAGGAGCGTTCGGTAGGCAAGGTCGAATTTACTGCTTATAAACTTCAATCTTCCATGAATCTCGTACATTCATAACTGCTCTGGCGTATCAAATGTAAACAAATGACGTCATATATTAAATGGACAAAGTCCGACAATTTATTTATTAAAGACATTTTTATGTTTAACGTTCTTTTTTATAGATACAAGTATTTAAGTAAATGCTCTGTTTATAATAAACAGTATTAATAATATATGACGTCATTTGTTTACAATTGTTATATATATATATATATATATATATCACGTGGTATATATGAAACCCACTCATATCTCTTGGAATGAGATGGCATGGATGTTAAAAGGAAGAAGGGGCAGACAGTTTATAAGCAGTAGTCAGAATCAATGGATATTATGTGAGATTATTGACCAGTAAAGATGCTGTCGACTTGACCAACCTTCGTTCACTGTCTTCAGCCTCTCATCGTCTTCGGTCATTCAAATAGAAACGACCCTTCTCCACTTTCTCTTTAACAAACAAGAGACGAGGCTGATAAATGGTTTCTTCTTGCTTATCGACTTATCAATACAGACAGGCACTTTCTTAAATGGATTTAATCTTGTCAAAGTACCATGGTAACGAAGTAATTATGAAATGTGTTTAACGTGACTAGGGTGATATGGCGTTCATTATGTGTAATTGTATGCTGTTTGTATTCCGACATTACACATTTGGTAGAAAGTAAAGTACGCTTCGATGAGTGTCATAGGAGAGGGGCTAATTGCAACTGCACCTTCATTATCAGATTGTTTTTAAAAGTGCAAGCCTTTTGGCCACTTGCAATAAAGATTTCTTATATAATG